TTGTGGGGCCTTTCTATGGCCAATTACTTTTGGGGTGCTGCAATTGGCAACGCCACTCAGAGGGCTGTCCAGTTGCACCTTGAATGTCTGCAGTGTGGGAGAGCCCCCCCACCCCTCCAGGCAGCTGGTCCCACTGTCACATTGCTCTGACAGTGAAGACGCTTTTTCTAATGTCCAGCCTGAATCTGGATTGTCGCAACTTGAATTGATTATTCCGGGTCTGACACTGGCATCTGCAAGAAGAGACCTGGACCTTCCTCTTTGTGGCAGCCTTTGGGGTCCTTATAGAGGGATATCATGCCCCACCCTCCCTGAGTCTTCCCTTCTCAAGGCTGAACATCCCCAGTTCTCTCCGTCTCTCCTCACAGGGTAGTGTTTCCAGACCCTGGATCATTTTTGTTGCCCTCCTCTGGACCCTTTCTAATTTGCCTGAATCTTTCTTAAATCTTGGTGCCCAGAACTGGACACAGTATTCCAGGTGGGGTCTGACTAGTGAGGAGTATAGAGGAACTACTGCTTCTCATGATTTGGAAGTAATACTTCTGTTAATGCATCCCAAAATAGCACTTTCCCTTTTGGCAGCTACATCACATTGTTGACTAATGTTTATCCTATTGTCCACAATTACTCCAAGACCTTTTTCTTTTTCAGTGCTGCTGAGCCACGTGTTTGCTCTCCCGCCCATCATCTGGACCAAGACGCCTGTCACCGGGTGACTGTCCTTGTATGAGCCTCCCCTCTGTCACTCCTGCCCACACGTCCAGCACGTGAGATCTGGTCCCCTCCCTTCACCCGTCTCCCTTGCCAAGAGGCCTCACACTGGCCTGCCTGCGAAGGAACCAAAGAGCCGGCTAAGCAGAGGCTGACCCAGAGGCTGAGACTCCCCCCACACCCCCCTTTGCGCCTTCGCTTCCCCATCAGGGACCTCAGGTCCACAGGCAGGCACCACACCCCGAGTCCTTTATTCTGAGGGCTGGCCAAGGCCTGCTTCAGCTGTGTTTCAGAAATTAATCCCTAGGAGGGGCAGATGCTTTCAGAAGGGATCTCTGCGTGTGTGAGCAGCCTCAACCCGAGAGCAGCTTGAGGAAGGAGGTGTCCCTGCCACCTCTGCAAATAGCACCTGTCCCAGAATGTTCCTCGCAGGATGAGAGCCCTTCCTACTCATCCCCGGAGTGATGAATGGCTCCATTCAGCTGCTGTTTGCTCTGTTGCATAAGCTCGCCTCAAGTGCTGCACTCCACTGAAGAGTGCCTGGTCACACGCTCCTGGTGAGAAGCACTCGGAGCTGCTGCGGTGCGGGGGAGCGCTGCCCCTCCCGGGCCTGGAATGTGCAGCCACCCCCGGAGCTGCAGTCCCAGCCCGACACGCGATGCCCACAGCTGGGCAGCAGCTGGGCGGCAAGCGCCTTCTGCGTGGCACACGTCCTGCGGTTCTCTGCCGCCCGGGACTGGCCCGCTCAAGGCCTGGTGCATGGCCTGTGGAGCCGTGCTGCGGAGAATGGAGAAGGCGGGGAGAGATCTGGGGGCTACCATGGCCCTCTCCGTGCCAACCAGCTCGCAGGGAACCACACGAAAGGAAGGCTGGGTGGGTGCCAGCAAAGGCAAACCCGCGCAGCCCCCGTCTCCCGGCCTGGGTGGCCCGGCTTGACAGGGAACAGAAGGGCGCTGCTCCGGGCGGGAGTTTCCCAGCCCCTGCCCCATGGGCGTGGCCAGGCAAGCCCCTCCCCTGCCCCGGGGAAGGATAAATGGGCGCCCTCGCGGGCAGCGCGCATCAGCCTCCGACCATGTGGGCACTGCTCCTGTTCGGCCTGCTCAGCGGAGGGCCAGGTAAGCACTGCGCACCTGCTCAGGCCAGGAGGAGAAGGTGGGCGGCCCCGGAGCAGCCCAGGTGTTGGGGGCCTGGGGCCCCTTGAGAATCAGCCCTGAGGATTGCCCTGCCGGGCGGCAGGAAGAATCCCCTCCTGCCCCCCAAAGGAACCAGGGAGGAAAGTGGGCCATGCAGGGCTGGAATTCTTTTCCCTTTGCAGGCTGACCTGCTCCCACCCCCGCCGAGCAAGGCGGTGCAGACAAGGCAAAGGCAGGGGTCTTTTGGGGCTCTCCCCCTGCCCCTGCCTGCTTATGCCTCCACTCCTGCCCCCCCCCCACTGCTTCCCCACATTTCAGCCTTGTTGCGAGGTCTGGGCCTCTCTGATAGCCAAGCAGTGGAGCCTGTGCTGGCAAGCCCAGCTCCGGCGTCAGGCCAGCCGGCCACTGCCCTGACCCATGCGAGGAGCCCCGCAGCTGGGCTGGACTGAGGGGCCATCCGGCCCAGCCTCCTGTTCCCACACTGGCTGGCCAGTGCCCTGACCCCATTGCCAGAGGGCGCCTCTCGCCACCCAGCCTAGCAGCCACGAATTGCCTCCTTCCCATGCGCTGGTCCATTCCCTGAGATCTGCAGGAAGGCCACTTGGCAACCGGGGGAGCTGGCGGTTCCTGTGGCCGTGAAGGCTCTTGAGGGTGGGATAAGCACCAGGGAGAGCGTCAGGAAGGCTCCAAGCTCCACGGCCCTGGCCTGGCCTCAGTTTACTGCCCACTAAGACCCTACATAGAAAGTCTCACAACAGCCAAGCCCGGAAGCTCTCTCCACCTGTGCCGCCGGCCCACCCAGCGCCCTCTTGCTGCGCACACGCAGAGCTGATGCAGGGCTTGCCAAGACCCTGGGGAGGGGCCGGTCCCTAGAAGCACTTCTGAGAAAGGCCAGGCCCACCGTGCGGAGCAGGAGCAGGGCTGCGTCCCACCAGGGCTGCCCGTCCACCCCAGGCGTGGTGGGAAGGCCTCCGGCCTCAAGAGCAGAGTCTTTGCCCCGCTTTATGTTGCGACTGATGGTGTCCCGCCCTGCTGCTCCCTTTCCAGCCCAGGCCGGCAGGATCTCCGTCCAGAATGAGTGCGCCAAGGGTGCGACTTACTGGTGCCGAAACCTGATGACGGCCGTCCAGTGTGGGGCCTTGGAACACTGTGTGGAAGCCGGATGGAGCCCGGCCAGCAATATAGGCGTCTCTGCCCCTCTCCGCCCAGCTGCCCTGACCTCCGCAGCTCAGCCGGCAGCATGGCTGAGAGCAGGCGTGGGGGGAGAAAGGCCTGGGGGGTGGCCCCAGGTGAGTGGGAGAAGCTGCTGCTGAAGC